GTGATATAGTTAAATACACAACTCTTTCAATCGCTGCATCACATCACACAATATCACACCTGCATCACACAATAAAGGGATCCCAAAACCTTAAATTGGCCTAAAAGTTTCAGGATTTTTCGGGATCAAAAACTGTTTTGAGACATTCCCAGAAGGGCCTTCTGCGTGAAGGATCATTCGCCGAGGTTTTCAGTGAAGCTGAAGAAGTGGAAGTCCTCCAGGGAGGGAAACAAAGGTTGGGTGGTTGGGTGACAAAATCTTACCTTAAGGATTTTCGGAAGTGGAACAAGAATCTCGTATTACCATGCATTTGATTTTCAGCTCCGTAGGAATGGGGGATCCCTCTCTCTGATTTTCTAACCAAGGACAATGATCAACAATGCATGGGCTTGGGCGGAGCGTCATAACAAGCTTAGAAAGAATGAGGAGCACGGAGAATGGGAGGCCAAAATCATCCAAAATCATTCTCGATGATCAATTCAAGTTCAATGAAGCCGAGGGTTTCCACTCAGAGCAATCCACTGCTATGGCTGTGGAGGTGCCATGACCAAACACTGTGCACACACTATATGTGGACAGTCTACATGCATTTCCCGTTATTGATGGCAACCCCAAAAAAATATTCGAAATTAATTGATTGGCCCCCCTGAATTCAGGACAGAACTGGTGCTTTCTTCGACGATGCGCCGGTTGACATCACGGCACCAGCAGAGGAGCTCACAGCTCATGTGAGGGATGAGGATCATACAAACCCGGAAAATGCTGCACTTTCGAAATCGGTGTCCTTCAAGTTACTCTCCCGCAAGAAGAATTCGTACATATTATACGGATTAAGAATTTGTGGCATGCAATCTGCAAGTGGTTGTATAATATTATATAATCCTATTTGCCCCATATCCGATATCTGGATTTTTGAGTTATAAGTTATGTGTTCTTATCATTTTCAAGTGGGCATGTCCAACAATCATGCACGGCGATGCCAAATCGTGAGCACTTCAGCAGAACACAAGCGCGATCGCAATCCTGCCACAGTTCATCGAAGTTTGCGGCCGGAAGATTGACAGCTGCACTCCAATCTTGGAGTCCTGGCTTGGCATATCATGGGATGATGGGCTGTGTGACCTTGAAGCACCCTTGGGTTTTGATAATCAAAATTGATCACATCATAGCTGAATGAGACATTCATGAGCGCCGTACTTCTTAGGAGAAATTGGATGGCAATGGATCAAACCAAGCAAAGGAGCCGGGGCCTCAATCGCCCCAATTATCCACGTGACTCAATCCAACTCGACCATTCTTTCTCAGGTTGCGTGCCAGCGGCTCGAAACAAGTTGACAACATGAACCGTATCTACGAAGAGTTGGAAGCAATCCAAGCTGATGCAGTCGCCAACACCTTGAGCGCTGGGTTACTTAGCTCATATGAGCTCATTGAGGTGTTGCTTCAGTCATGCAACCTAAGTATTTGCAGTTTCAAGGACTCAGAGTTTGGGCGCTTAAAAAAACAAGGCCTGATGTGTCTAAACACCTCTTGGCAAAGTATGCGCAGCTTACAAAGATGGATGTGGCGTTGAACAATTTGGTGGTTCGATTTATATGCATACATGTAAAAATCATATAGTAATGTAATATACGCATGAATCGGCATCTCAGCTTGTACCCCAGAATTCTGCCTCCACATACGGCCTCCTTGTTCGTCCACAGCTTGCAGGTCTGTGAAGACTGCCCCACAGAGCAAGCCTCCACCTCCTGCAAAAAAGCCAGTGGGGAAAGCCAATCCAATTACTTTACTTCGTGTGATCCCCACCATGACATTTATACATTTTCTTACTGGCAAATCTTCTGGCATTCTATGTGACATATATATCTTCTGACAGTCTATTTGGCATTCTATCTGGCATATCTTCTGGCATTCTATCTGGCAAATCGTCTGGCATTCTATCTGGCATATCTTCTGGCATTCTATCTGACATATCTTCTGGCATTCTATCTGGCATTCTATCTGGCATATCTTCTGGCATATATTCTGACATATCTTCTGGCATTCTATCTGGCATTCTATCTGGCCTATCTGGCATATCTTCTGGCATATCTATCTGGCATATCTTCTGGCATATTTTCTGGCATTCTATCTGGCATGTCTTCTGGCATTCTTCTGGCATGTCTTCTGGCATTCTATCTGGCATATCTTCTGGCATATTATCTAGCAAATCTTCTGGGATTCTATCTGGCATATTTTGTGGCATTCTATCTGACATTTTATCTGGCATTCTATTTGGCATACCTTCTGGCATTCTATCTGGCATATCTTCTGGCGTTCTATCTGGTATATCTTCTGGCATTCTATCTGGCATATCTTCTGGCATTCTATTTGGCATATCTTCTGACATTCTATCTGGCATATCTTCTGACATTCTTTCTGGCATATCTTCTGACATTCTGTCTGGCATATCTTCTGACATTCTTTCTGACATTCTTTCTGGCATTCGATCTGGCACATCTTCTGACATTCTATCTGACATCTTTTCTCACATTCTTCCCGTTGAGGTCCGGCAGTGCCCACTGCGATCTGGAAGTCGCGGTTGAGGTCCGGCAGTGCCCACTGCGATCTGGAAGTCGCGGTTGGAAGTCGCGGTAGAAGTCCGGCAGTGCCCACTGGGATCTGGAGCTCGCGGTGGAGGTCCGGCTGTGCCCACTGGGATCTGGAGCTCGCGGTGGAGGTCCGGCTGTGCCCACTGGGATCTGGACTGCGAGGAGGAGGCGGCGGGTGAGGAGGCGGAGGAGGCAATGGAGGCGGAGGAGGCGGAGGAGGAGGAGAACAGCTCTGATAAAATCTAACAACCCTCACCGGGCAGGTGGGGAAAAAACAACAAACAACCGGGGAAAGGGCAAAGCCGCCAAAGATGGCGAAGAAGAGTAGGCTTGCAAGTTCTTTTTTGGCGTTTTGAACTTACAGTATTGGGCTGGGCCCAGGCACACAGAGCTCCACTGATTGTCTTATCTATGGTAAGTTTAGGATGTATGAAACAATTATTTCCAGCGGTCGAGCTTTGATTTGATGGCCTCACTTATGCCAGCCAATTTTGATAGAAGCCTGAGCATACCGAGGAGCAAAACGGCACGGTACAAAAGATCATATGCGACATGCATACTGCACTGCTAGAACACTTTGTTGTCATATGTTGCCATGTGTACCATAAAATACTTGGGTGATCACCCTGCAAAGCGCAAATCAGAAATATGCAGCTCCCTGAAACTTCATGATCAATACAAATATGCCCACATGATGTGTTCTTATCCAATTATATCCAGCCACACGCAGGTGTGACTGAGGATGAGCTACATGTCCCAGCGCCAAAAGGCGCCCCACCTACTGATCACCTACTGTTGCCAAAAATGCCACAGCTAGTTGGATCATACAACAAACCATGTGTACAGAAGCACCCCAACCAGCCAAGAATCAGAACTGTCCTGTGCAGGTGGAATATTGGACTCTGACTCGGACAACGACACCGACCTGGCCGATGAGTTCTTGATTGGCTTTGAACAAGGGGTTCTCTGGCTGCGATAATTTTTCCCCATGGGTAAAACTTCAACATTGCGCTTAAAATCTAAGGCTGAGTCTGCTTCCAGAGTGGACCGACTGGCAAAGGTGGCAAACAACAAGTTCAAGAAGCATGGAAACTCGGACTGTTAGTTTGGGTGTGTTGTTTGTTGGGTCGTACATTCTCAGCACATGGTCAAACATATTGGTGCTTCTTTCTATTCAGGAGTGGTCGATCCAATGATGGCACTTATGGCTAAATGTGGTCGCAAACGTGTGGACCCCCATGCGTGCAGAAACCTTCACAGTCTGATTTGGCGAACAGGAAAGGTACTGCCGGTGACCATTTCAACTGTGACTATGAGAAAACGTATCTCAAGGAGAAAGCTTGCTGCCATTCCAACACTCCACCCACTCTTGAAACTAAGCGATTGGGCATTGACTATATTCAAGTACGGGGGCCATTTCTTTCTCAGAGGCAAATCCTTAGAACATGCCGGAAGCTTTGGAGAGGAATTGAGCGACTTTACCGGACCCCGAGAGGTGGCATCAGCACATTCCATGGGGATGCATCCGTGGGGATGAAGGGCGGGGACGTCAGGGTCAACCAGTGTTTGTACTGTCATACCAGCCGCTTCTCCCCCTACAAGATCAAAAGTCCACTATGGCAGTGCACCTAGGCTTTCTGTTGGGTCCTTTAAGTTCTGGGTGATTGTTTCAGTTTCAATGATGGGCTATACCAGCTTGCACAATGTGGTATCTTTGGGGGCCATGCCAACAGTCCCAGGCAAACCTTGTGCACCCGGTTGCTCTTCACGCTGCTCCCGTCCCCATATTCAAAAGAGAACTTGAGTATTGTTCTTGAAGAAATGGTGAAAGATTTGAACCACATGCATGCTGAGGGCATCACAGCAACCCCTTTCAGTTTCAACAGATTTTCATATGTTCCCTGATACCAGCCTTTCAACATGCCCACAATTGTGTGAACCCTCACTCTGCTGCCTTGTCCAGGTGCAGTGGCACGGCAAGCAGTACACGTACTTCTTCACCTACACAGGGTGCAAGGGGGACTGGCTGTTCTTACGGGCTGCCTTTGGACTGAACTGTGGATACAACTGCACAAGGAAATGCCATCGATGTGACATAACCGACCCATAGCTGAACTATATATCTATTTGATCCAATATCTACCCTTAAGATTGTGTAGTTGTAGCTGGTAGTACCAGCCTGATACCTTTGTCTATCATCTGTTTGGGCCCTGCTTTCTCCGCTCAGGAATGGTATGATGTCAAGACTGCTGTGAAAAAATGGGATGAACCCTTTCTGGGAACATTGGAGGAGTCCCCTTCGGGATTTGCCTACAGAGGCGGGTTGCCGGTTTGTGAGGATAGACTCGGATAGACCCTGATGATGCCCTGCCAAACCACCAGACCCTGGCTACCAGCTTCCAAGCCTCCTTAGGCAAGAAGCTCCTTCGCATTTTTCACCTCGCTTTTGGCCCACTTCGTTGGGCATTCGGCGGCCGTTTGGCCCTTGAAAGAAAACAGCTTCAGGTAACGGCTTATGAGACCGAACCTGATAGGTAAAGGATTTGAATGTGCAAGTGCAAAAAATGAGAGGCAATATCAGCACTCCCCCTTTAAAGTTCCGGATTGGAGCTTTCACAGCCAGGCTCAAGCTGTTCTCACTTGGTGGCTTCTAAACATGCAGTGCAAATTGGAAGGTGATTCGCTCCAAGTGCAGTCGGACATCGCATATCTGAATGTGCATCGCTTTCATACACTTTCAGAAACAGGGTGGCACCAAGAGCAGGAGTTGAACCGTTTTGATATGCAGAGCGTCGGCAACGACTGCGGCGCCATGTAGCCCTTCTCTGTGAAAAGTGCAGGTGGCCTCACGATCAGGATAGCTTCTTGATCACCCTGATCCATCACAGCGTTGAGAAGAGAAGTCTTATGTCAATGACTGCACCAGCCCATTGATGGCGGGATGCTGCCCAGATGGACAGGCGAAAGGCGGCGGCATCAGCGCCGCTGGAGAAGGTTTTTTCGGAATCCTTTTTGGACTCGTAGTTTCCACAAATCACCCAACGAGTTTTGCGCTTGCCGCCATTGGGACCAGATTTGATTGTGAAGACCAACTTGGACGGAATGATCTCCACAGTGCGGCCTTCTTGAGCAGCTTTCTTTTGAATCTCCTCCAGTTCCTTTCTTGTGATCTTTTCAAAGCTTCCTTTTCTTCTAAAAGACTTGGAACTTCTGCATCGATGGCTTCCAGCCAACTTTTCCAACTTCTGGCAACCTCTCTTGTCGAGATCACTTTCGTTTGGAGAATTTTGTCCTCCTCACTTGGTTCTTCCATCATTCTCTTCATCTTCGCTACCCATTTGAGTTCTTCTACTGCTATGTCAGGGTCGTCTTCGACCATGTACTTCATCTCTTCTTCTATCATTTTTCCCAGCCTCTGCTTCAGCTGATGAGACTTCTCTCTTTCTGCTTCCTCCTCATTCTTTGAATCTTTCTCCTCAACTTCTATCTTTCTCACTGATGTTTTCTCTCGCAACCTTCTTCTGGTGGTCAAAGCATCAGCGACCTCCTTCTCAATTGCGACCCATTTCTGGTCAGTGATTGGTTCTTTTGCTTTTCGAAGGACATATTTGGTGACTCTTGGCGGTTCATCTCCAGGCTGAACCCAATGTCCATGCTCTTCTGAAGCTGGAAACAGGTACTTGACGGATCTTGACGGTTTCCACGGTGGGCTCAAAGACACCCTGTCGCCATGTGCGACGTCTGACAAGGACGTCCTGCATGAACGGTGGAAAGCTTGGAGCATCGCCAAGTCGCCAGCTTCTATTCAAGGCATCAGCATAGCGAGCAGCTAATGGCCAACATTCGCTGCCCACATCGGCTTGTTTGAGTAGCCAACGGATTTGTGGTTTGAAACTTTTCACAGCCGCTTCCACACGGCCATTCGCGTGAGGATCATCTCCAGGTGTGCATGTCAGCACTATGCCACGTGAGTTTCCGGAAGACCCCGGAGAATTCATGACCTCGATCTGAATGTATTCTTCCAATGTGGAAGCCATCCATCCTGAGCTTGAGGATGAAGTCCATGGCTGTTTTGGTGACTTCTCTCGCAGTTTTGGTGATCATAGCTGCAGCTAAGCCTAAACGGAAGATCTTGATGTCGAAGCCTCCAGGTTTGGGATCTTCTTCTCCTTCTTTCTTTTCAGGTGGAGGCAAGAGATAGGGTGGCTCAGGCGGAGCTCCCCCTGGGACCGAGACTTCTTCTTTCTTCTCTTCCCCTCCTTCTTTAACCTCATCCTCTTCACCCCAAACATCAACTGGATCTTCTTCCTCTTCCTTCTCACCTGCTGCCTCCTCTTGACCTTCCTTCGCTTGAACTTCATCTTTTCCTTCTTCATCTTCAGGGTATACCTCAAAGTGAGGTTAATCTCCATCAGCTTTCGGAACTTCAGGATCTTTCATCTTGTCTGATTCAGCGGGGACTGCCCATGTCAGAGTGCCAACCAACATCCATCTTGCGTAGAGACCTCCAATATCTTTTGCTGGGACTAACGGTCCAGCAACGTCCAAGGAAAGAACTCCTCCAACTGGATATGGAACTTTTCTGTGAGGATGGCACTGCTGCAATAGTTTGTTGACATACTGCACAATCTCGACGATATGGAGTATGCCCATGGGCAATGTGTTCATCCCAGCTCAGAGGACGCAGCATTGGGTTGCGCTGCATCACTTGTGTTGTCAAAGCTTCAGCAACCATCGCCATGACGCCAGGGGCCCATCTTGAAAGGCCTTTTGAAGATTTTATCTCCACTCCTTCACTTGCTTTCTTCATTCTTTTGTGGTTGTTGACCTCCAGCTTCAAGTTTCCGCCAAAGGTTGTTGGTTTGGTAGCGGAGCCACCATATTGACCCTGTGCAAACGTAGTTTCATCCCAACCAAACTCCTTTTTCAAGGAGGACCATTCTTTGGTATCCCAAAAGGACACAACTTCTGGCTTGTAGTCCTTGGGCGATGCTGGCTGTTCCAAGGTGAAGCCAACAGGTCTTGGATCTTTTCGTGCCTCATTGATGTAGTTGGAGACCATGGCCAGGAAGATCATGCGCCAAAGGAGGATGTCATCTTCTTCAATCATAGTTTTTTCAGTATCTGAGAGTCCATTGATTCCATATTCTCCTCCTCCCCATGACCTGATTGGGCGTGGACAGTTTGGCTGACCAGGCACCTTGTAGTGACGCAAGACACTTCTGCTTCGGCAATTTGGGCCACCGACGATGGCGTGGATCTTGTTCTCCAGTGCAGCTCTGATCAACGCTGCATAGGGTCCAACTTCAGTTGAAAGGTCATGATGTGAACCTCTTTTGATGTCAATCTCCAACAGAGCGGAGGCTTCACCTCCTTGTTGATGCCATGCACGGGCAAGAGTAAAACCAGAGTCCTCTCCTGCATTCGCTTCCTGGTTCTTCGGTTCACAGGCAAAGTTGACCATGAAGTTGGCTCGTCTGCTAACCTGGACTTTATATCTTGTGGAAGACGTCGAAGAACTGGATGTGTTTCTACAAGCTTCTTCATCCATTCAACTTCTTCTTTAAATGTTCTTTCTTCGACTTTCCCCAGGGTTGCAGTCTGCTCCAACTCCTCTATCAGTTCAAGGGTTGTTGACCTGGCCATTTGAGGGCAACCACCGCTAACTTGGATTGGCAAAATGCCACGCTGTGGGTGACGAAGGCAAACTCCTTCACTATTCCATTCGATTTTGCAGCCAAGCTTTTCAATGAGCAAACCCATTGGTAAGATCGGCTCCGCATCAGCCCTCTCAGGGACCATCACGCCTCCTGGAGTCATTCGCAGTTGAGCTTGTTGGCCATTCGCAAGGGTCACAGGCACAGTTTTGTATCCTGCAAAGGGTTCCACAGGACGTAGTGGACGAAGTGCATGAGTAGCCCCTGAGTCTACAAGGCCTTGTGATTTTCCAAAGGAAACTTGGCTCAATTTGAACACCTTCAACTTCAGCGAGTTCAGTTGTTGCTGAAGTCGGTCAACAACTTCATCTCTTGGCTCATTTGCAGAACTTGTTGTGGATGAAGTGGCGGACGCAGATGTTGTCAGGCTTTTCAACATCTTATTCGCTTGTTCCAAGAAGTCTTTCATAGAAGCCTGTTCTGAGCTTCCTTCGTCCTCCTTGGCTTTTGAACTTGATGGTGACTTCTCCTCCCCCTCAACCTTCTGCATTCGTGGCCTTTGCGGAGAGGTGTCATTCGAATTTTTCGGTCTTGTGCATGCTGGCGACATATGATCAGGGCAACCGCAATTCCAAGGCTGCAGACCCCCATTCAAAAGAAGCGAAAGCGTCAGCTGGAGATTCATCAGCTGCGTTCACCGAAAAGTCGTTGGAGTTTCTGGCCCTGATGATGGAATCTATGAAAGAGATGCAAAAGCGAATGAACGACTCCAAAGATGAGGCTGGCTTGGTGAAGGGTGTCGAAACCATCCGAACTGGCAGTCCTGATCTTCCTGTTCTAGCACCATGGGAAGCCCAACAAGGACCGTTGATCCTTGGCGATTGGCTGTTGCTGGCAAAGCCCATCATAGCCGACTTGTCCTTAACTGCAGGTGAATGGTGGCGAAGCACTGTCAAATCAGCTGAGGAGTCGTACAAGCTTCACATGAGTTTGAGCCCTTTGGAAAGAATCAAGCACCCCTGTCAAGCACCGCCTGAGATCACCATGGAAAAGTGGCAACGTGTTGAACGCCGAGTTTCTTCAATGATCCTTCAAGCAGTTCCCCAAAGTGTTCGTGATGAACTTGTTGTTTCAAGAAGAATGTCAACATTTGGGGTGGTAACGTATCTCTTGGTTGCCTACCTGGAGGAGTTTCTGAAAAACAAAACATCCAGAGGAGTTTAGAAGAGCGTCCGGAGATTCAGAATGTCATGGATGCGCCGATAGCACTGAGGCGAGAAATCGCGCAAAAGAAATCGGAGCTGTTCCTCCGGATCCAGCCCTACAACGGAAGGGGCTCCTCAAAATGTCAAAGAAGCAATTGGAAAGCCATCGAGAACTGCAGTTCAGAGTCTCCCTAGTCCGGTCTGGGCTTGGTGTGGACACTACACCAAATGATGTAAATGTGGAGCAGTTTGCATACCACCTTCTTGCTGAATTTGAACAACTGGCTCTGACTGAGAAGAAGCCAGGAACATCCTCGGCCGCTGCCAAGGGTGAACAGCCGAAGCTGAAGTCTTTGGAAGCAGAGAAGTCAAAAGCAAAGAAAGGCGAAGAAGAGACTGGAAGGTCACCTACAAAAAGAGAAGATGGAAAGGACGAAAAGCCGAAATGACGTTTTTTCCTCACAGACCAAGGTTGCAGAAGGGGAAAGGCATGCAACTTTTCCCATGATGTCTCCTTTGCACAGGGGGTCTATCAGCCTCCTTGGTGGTCTCGGCCTCCTTTGGGGTCTTTGGGGGTCTATCAGCCTCCTTTTTGGTGGGTCTTTCAAGTTGGCCATCAGAGCAATTTGGAGTCGCACACCGCTGGTCTTCATCCATCTTTTGAAACTCCAAAGCATCGACCCTTTCCCTCAGAAACTGATTTTCCCTCAATTTGTTTCCTATGTTTTTCCTCACCTCTTGATTTTCTCTATCTACACCTATACTTCTATCATGTCCATAATAACCACTGGACCCGATCCGGCCCTCCTCATGCATTCTCCGTTCATCTTGTTCAAGAAAGAGAGGTCGTTGGACCGGAGGCATCAATTGCCCAGGTGGCATCAGAGGCAAGGGGGCTTGAGGGACATGTTGTGGATATAGCCATGGTGCTTGTGCATACAGCTCTTGGAACCTTCTCAATTGGTTTTCATCAAACAAAGGAGTCATGGGCGTGGACATGTGCGGAGGTTCAGACATCTTCGGGTCTGAAACAGGAGCTACGCTTTTTTCCAAACTCCCAACCCCATGCTGTCCTGCTTCTTCACACCTTCTGCGGAAACTGCAACCTTAGTCTCCTTAGTGACTCCAGGTTCCTCAGTGGCATTCTCAAGAGGGCGGATCTCCTCAGGTGGTGCAGCTATTGAAAACTGGGGACCCTCAGTTAAAGCTTTTACCCTTTACATTTTCTCCTCAGGCGGAAAACGGGACTGAGCCTCCTTAGAATCACCTTCAGCCTTCTTATCTTCTAGTGCTACTTCTTCTTTCACCTGTTGATCCAACCTTCTCTGAGCTGCTTCTATTTCCCTTTGGCCCTGTTCCAATTCCTTCTCTTTGCATCATTGGGTCCATCGCGGTGGTGGCAGGCTTTGGGCTCATAACCTGATGATGCCCTGCCAAACCACCAGACCCCGGCTACCAGCTTCCAAGCCTCCTTAGCCAAGAAGCTCCTTCACATTTTTCACCTCGCTTTTGGCCCACTTCGTTGGGCATCCGGTGGCCGTTTGGCCCTTGAAAGAAAACAGCTTCAGGTAACGGCTTATGAGACCGAACCTGACAGGTAAAGGATTTGAATGCGCAAGTGCAAAAAATGAGAGGCAATATCAGCAGCCCACACATACGGCATTGATGGCATTGGCAAAAGGTTTCTTGCAAGCAGTTTGATTTTGTTGTGCCACTTCGGTTACCTTGGGTTTGGAAAGATTGAAATGAAGTTGAACAATGCCTATGCTCCCTTCATAGCATATTGCGAAGCCCGGGGAAAGCATACTACAATCCTTGAATTTTCCAGCAAGACCCTCAAACTTCCTCAAAACTCGCATCTTGGAATCATCTTAAGAAAGAAGTTTGTGAACACACCGCAAATCCCCATAGTCAGCTGAAACTAACTGTTGAGTGGCCCCTGCAATGTGCCCGAGGTACAACAACTACCCTGCAGGTTTGGGCAAGGGATTTGATTCTGGAGTGGTTGGCGCCTGGTTGGACGAAGAGCTTGCCCAGATGTTGCCAGCCTCATTTGCCACTGGGTTGAAGGGGTTGGTGGACCAGCTGTTGTCTTTTGGCATGGGTGTGTTTGCAAACCATACCAAAATAAGTGTTTATCATACTTGGTTTTACCATGTTGTACCAAAAAGAACAATGGCTGCTTTCGGGGTGGCCATGATGTGTGCCCAGGACCTTCGTTTCCAAGAAGTTGCAGAGGTCTTGATTTGGACATCTCATGCATGCAGCCGCTATTGGCGGACCATTTATGCATCTGGATTGTGGCTGAACCGCAACACTGCCCGACAAATAGTCTCTGACGGATGGGCTTTTACAGTTTCTTGCCCAAACAGAAAAATGGCTCTTTGTTTCTCTTCCAGCTTCTCCCTTTGTTAGAGAACCGTATCTAAGCTCAGGATGGGTACTCTACCCTAGCTTCGCTGACTGCAAAGATGGGCTACCGTTTGTACCAGATCCGTCCAAAGCTGCATATGATGTGTCACATTCAGTTGCTTGGTGAACATGCTACTTTAAAAAAAAACACGTTGATAACTTGTGATTTTCTTTAAAAAAAACAAATGCCTGAGGCTAGACCTTCAGACCTCGCTGGCTAATCCCCGAAGTGCGTATGTGATGAATCCTGCGGCCCACATGACGTGGGCGGATGAGGACTTCATTGGACGGATTAAATCGGATTAGCAGAATAAGTAGAAGAACCATGAAGAACCCATGTTCTAACAGCCCCGGCTCGGAGTGACCGAGCCCTTGGCCATTATCGGCGACGGTCCGAAATGTTTGGCCCAAGCTACTTGGATCATCTTGACTTAGTTCCTGAGGACCCAGCGTGAAAATGAGCTGCTGTAGGCATCGCAGTTGGTGTGGTATGCTGTAGGCATCTGAACTCGAGCGCTTGTTGGTGATTCGGGCACTTATATGAGCGACGGCTCTTATTTGCGTATATGGAAAGTAGTATTCGGAAGTACCCCGGTTTGTCAAAAACATTATATTTAGCTTGTAAAACGAGGTAGGAACACCCCGAGAACGAGGTAGGCAAAAACGTTACGGGACTGGAGAACGAGGTAGGAACACCCCGTCAATTGCGTTATGTAACAAATATGGTCCGCAGCCCATATGGGCTTTGATCGGAAGCTTGCATTCAGTCAAAATACAAGTCTTTGAGCTTGCACGAGCTTGCGCGAGCTTGGGCAAAGAGAATGCAAAGAGGCGCCTTGCAGGTGCAAGGCATCTGTCGGATGAGGCTCTCATCATTTGCAACACATATATGGGCAATCTCGGAAACTGGGGATTCACGAAAGGGACATCAACAGATTTGGCAAGGTCCCATCGCTTACCAGAGGGAAAATAATGTATGCGCACACGTACAACACAACCTTCAGAGGGCGCATTGCTATTTGGGAAGGTCCCGCCGCTTACCTTTTACAAAATTTGTAAGCTGATTTGGTCAATTCGTGGAAATACCATGAAATACCACTACTTCATTTGAGAGTTTAACACATGGGGTTGTATAAAAACCCCGTATCTTTTTAAATTACCCAAAATCACGTTAATTATCGTTTATCATGTCATGGCAAGTGGCATGTCCGTGGTGCGGTCGAGCATGTGCCATAGCCATTCTCTTAGCGCAACTGGGCGATGCATTGTGGCGCGCAAAACAGATGGTTTCCACCCATTCTCGAGCTGAAGGCTTCCGACCTCTTCTCATCCACATCCATGTTCTACCTAGAGGCTCCAAACTTGTGTTTTGGACATCGTTTCTACAAACGACATCATCTGCCTCGTTTGGTTTTCGAACGCGCGCTTTGGCGCGAAAAACGCGCGCGCATGGTTGCGAAAACCTGCGCTTTGTATTGCAAATTTGCAGCGAGAGGTGTCCAAAGCACATCGGATCCTCTAGGTATAGTGCATGCAAACCTTATAAGCGTGAAACTTGGAACTGCGATCGCTCACTTGCAGACCCAGCCCACTACAACTGCGATTGTGTAGGAATTTGCCGTAGCGGGTCACCCTCAAATGCATGATCTGCCGGCCGGAGTGCTAAGTCAAACCCTATACATTGCGAGCCACTGCCGTCAAACTCACTGAAGGCAACACATCGGTCGCATCTTCATTTGAATGGCTTTCTGGTTGGGAGTTGAAATTGATAGGCGAGAGCTGCAGTTTGCGTTCAATTACTCGGACGCCAACTCCAACGTTGTCATTGTGTGTGTGTTATCTTTGGTATCGAGAATATGCCTTGGCTGCTGGCGCACGAGCCATGTGATCAATCCAATGATTTCCCAATTAATCATTGCATCATTATATGAGTGGACGACTCATTTTTTTCCAATGGTACCGTACTATTAGGTATGAATCGACAGCCCGCTCCTTGCTGCTTCAAATTTTGAACCCAAGCTGCAACACTTTAAAAATCAATGTCTCCATGGCTGTCTCAACATTTCCCAACACCACACATGGGCCTTTCACACTGAGGCTGGCACTTGTGTAGTTCAAATCCTTTGTGGCGTGTGATGGAGGCGCAACCTGTCAAACCAAACGCCCGCACTTCATCAATGGGATTCTGATTTCAGGCATCAAACAAAATCCGTCAAATCCAAGAGAAAAAAAGACATTTGGCTGTCAGTGGCACACACGACGAGGGCAACAGCCCCTAATGGAAACTTGAAGGGCAATGCCCGACGATTGGGCAAGCGTCATGAGAACCCCAAGCTTTGGTTTCACCACCTGAAGCGACCCAACCTCAAATTGTCAGTTACGAGTACCCTGCTGAAAGAAAAATGAACCCATGGCACACTTAAATCACAGCATGACTTTCATCTGAAACCACATCTAAAACATCAACTTTGGTTTGGTCAAAAACCGGGTAAACCATGCTATAATCCACTGCATCCACGGCTTCATCATCACATTCTCCACTCAATGGTGATAACGGGGCGGAAAATCCTTCGGTTTCAGCCATCCCCGAGAGAGACCCAGCCTCAATGTTGCGCACCATTGCCTTCACCTCTGCTTTCACCCGGCTGTCCTGACCATGGCGCCAGTTCCATCTACTTTGGCTGCGCTCAAGGTATGTTCACCGTTGTTCACCCATGAGTTTTGGGCACAGGAAGACCCCTGTTGAAACTTTAAACTCAAACTGTAGCACTCCGAACCAAATTGGAAAGTGGGGAGGTTTTTGGAATGGGGAAAGCCGCCATCCACCATCATTAAAAAAATTACTTTACTTCGAGTCATCCCTACCATGATATTTATACAATTTTTAACGGCAAATCTTCTGGCATTCTATCTGACATATCTTCTGGCATTCGATCTGGCATTCTGTCTGGCATATCTTCTGGCATTCTACCTGGCATATCTTCTGGCATATGTTCTGGCATATCTTCTGGCATATGTTCTGGCATTCTATCTGGCATATCTTCTGGCATATCTTCTGACATTCTATCTGGCATTCTATCTGGCAAACATGTTGGCATTTTATCTGGCATACCTTCTGGCATTCTACCTGGCATATCTTCAGGCATTTTATCTGGCATATCTTCTGGCATTCTATCTGGCATATCTTCTGGCATTCTACCTGGCATGTCTTCTGGCATATGTTCTGGCATATCTTCTGGCACTTTATCTGGCATATCTTCTGGCACATCTTCTGACAATCTATCTGGCAAATCTTCTGGCGTTCTATCTGGCAAACATTCTGGCACTTTATCTGGCATATCTTCTGGCATTCTATCTGACATTCTATCTGGCGTTCTATCTGGCATATCTTCTGGCTTTCTATCTGGCCGTTGAGGTCCAGCGGTGCCCACTGAGCTCGGAAGGTCCCAGGTTGAGGTCCAGTGGTGCCCACTGAGCTCTGAAGGTCCCAGGTTGAGGTCCAGCGGTGCCCACTGGGCTCGGAAGGTCCCTGGTTGAGGTCCAGCGGTGCCCACTGCGCTCGGAACCTTGCGGTTGAGGTCCAGCCGTGCCCACTCAGATCGGCAGCCGGCAGTTGAGGTCCAGCAGTGCCCACTGCCACAGAAGTTGGCAAAGAGATTGGCGAAGAGTTGGCAAGGCGGAAGTGGACATGGAAGTGGATGCACAGGTGGTGGAGGAGAAGGAGGAGGATGAGGAGGAGGAGGCGGAGGAGGAGGAGGAGGCGGAAGAACAGCTCTGATAAATCTAATTACTTTACTTCGTGTGATCCCCACCATGACATTTATACATTCTGATACTGGCAAATCTTCTGGCATTCTATCTGACATATCTTCTGGCATTCTATCTGGCATTCTGTCTGGCATATCTTCTGGCATTCTACCTGGCATATGTTCTGGCATATCTTCTGGCGCTTTATCTGGCATATCTTCTGGCATTCTATCTGACATTTTATCTGGCATTCTATCTGGCATACCTTCTGGCATTCTATCTGGCATATCTTCTAACATTCTATCTGGCATATCTTCGGGCATATCATCTGGCAAATCTTATGGCATTTTATCTGGCATATCTTCTCGCATTCCTTCTGACATTCTATCTGGCATATCTTCTGGCATTCTATCTGGCTTTGGAGGTCCAGCGGTGCGCACTGAGCTCGGAAGGTCCCAGGTTGAGGTCCAGCGGTGCCCACTGGGCTCGGAAGGTCCCAGGTTGAGGTCCAGCGGTGCGCACTGAGCTAGGAAGGTCCCAGGTTGAGGTCCAGCGGTGCGCACTGAGCTGGGAAGGTCTGAGGTTGAGGTCCAGCAGTGCGCACTGAGCTCCGAAGTTGGCGAAGAGCTTGGCCAAGAGTTGGCAAGGCAACAGTGGACGTGGAAGTGGAGGCAGAGGTGGTAGAAGAGGAGGAGGACGCGGAGGAGGAGAAGGAGGAGGAAGGAGGAGGAGGAAGGAGGAGAAGAACAACTCTGATAAAATCTAACAACCCTCACCTGGCAGGTGGGGAACAACCCTCACCTGGCAGGTGGGGAAATAGTAGTTGTCAACTATCAAAATTTCAAAATCTGAAACCACATTTAAACAGCAAATTTGGTTTCGTCTCAAGCAGGGTAGCCCACGCTAAATCCGAAATCCACTGCTTCATCATCATTTTCTCCACTCATCACTCACTGGCCAGAAAGTGGTGGAAAATCGAGGACCCCAGCCTCAATGGTACGCACCATTGCCTTCACTTCTGTTTCCACTCGGCTGTCCTGACCCGGTGAATGATTATCCATGACCTAGGATGAAAATTGGGCATCAAAAATGCTAAGGACAGACTGGGTGATTGAAATCGAAACGATTTGCGTGGTTCTCGATTCGTCTTCAATTTTTGCCCGTGCCCAAAGCACCCAAAATCTATGGGACCAAATGGCCAGCACAAGAAGCACCATACACGATCATTCCCACCTATGCTGGATCCGGGTAAATTCTCGGAAGATATGGCGGAACCTCCAAATCGTAGCCTTTTGATCATCGGGTTGGATATTTCCAAGAATTGGAGATCCCCCAAATGGCAATTCACCATTGTGAAAGGAAAAATGATTATAAATCATACGATTCTGAAGTAATTACCCTACGTATCCCTACGTATGTTCAAGTAGCATCCATGTTACAAGTATTGGGCACGCCATGGCACGACTGACAATTTAAGAACAGAGTGATAGGATATTTGGAACCCATTCTTTGCATGGTGTCCACCCCGGCACCTTCCGAATTCCACTCCGCTCGGGCGT